TTTGGTATATTGAATCTACTTTCCAGGATGAGAATACCGAATACCGTTCAAGACTTGCAAATATCGTAAAGTATATTTTTTCAAAAAAGATAATTGATATAAAGCTCTTCAAGACAAGACTTGAAGTTTCTCTACTTGGTGCAGCCAATCTCGTTGACGAAAAGTTGTTCAACCGAAGACTCGTGCGAATAAATACAGCTATGTTATATAAACAACAAAAGTATAATCTATTAAGAGAAGAAAACGAAGGATATGCAAAATTAATATGTGAACTGGCTCAACACTGTGACCCAGAATACATAGTCGAAACTGAATCTGCTCTAAACGAACGAGCTAATAGTCTTCTTGAACAGATTAAAATGTTAATAGGATATTTCCATCTTGATCCAAATAGGGTTTTGGATTTAATTCTTGATGTCTTCGTGGTTAATGTTAGAGAGCACCATGAATTCTTTTTACGTCTATTGGAAATTTCTCCATGGCAGCCTGAACCCCTACCAAATTCTAACAAAATGGATGTTGATGATCAACTTTTCATGTGGGAAAATGATTTGGGTAATCCCTCTTGTGCTCAGTTGCTTGGGACCAAATATCAAAGATACGAAGGTGATAACATGTTATCAAACGTGTTCGAATCCCTTTATGAAGTTTCTGCTCTCTTAATACACCGGGGACTTGTCAATGTTGGCGATCTTCATCCACATATCATGATTAATGAAATAACCGAAGAGATGGAATGGAAAAAGAAATTAGAAGTTCAGCATAGGCATGAACTTGGGCTTGCTTGCGCTCTTCTTAGCATTGGTGATTTATATCATGCTCGATATTATATCTATCAGTTACCGTATATACATCCTAATATAGCCAAGAAAGTTTGTGAAATATTGCATATATCAATTGAGCCAATTTATTTTTCTATAGCTCCGAATATCTTAGAAGAAAGAAAGCCTCCGGCTTTTCCTGGATCATGGTACCTTCGATGGAATGATGGCATACCGATGTTCAACTCTATGGATGAACTAATCCTTGAAAGGGGCCGAGAATTATTAAATCTCGTGTCTCCTTTTTTTAACGATGACATCATATTATTCACCAAAATTCTAAGGCTCGCTCTCAGACATCTCACAATCTCAAGGTCAGCTCCTAATATTCATCAAGTAGAAACGTCCTGGCTTGACATTATAAGATCTGTGATCTTACCAAGCATATCTATGTGTGAGACAAACCCAGGAGTAATTACCGATTTTTGGGATGTATTGTGTCATTATCCATACGAAACAAGATATGGAATCTATGGTGAATGGAAAAGTGAAAGTTACAACATACATCCAATTTTAAGAGATTTGAAAACTAGTATTATCAAACAAGCAAGAGGTATAATGAAAAGGATTACCGATGATAACTATCGCCAGAAAGGTCGTGAAATATCAAAATTGGCTACAGGAAATCCTGCTATTGTTTATTCCATAGCGTTAGACCAAGTTCAACGTTATCCAAATATGATAACTCCAGTGGTTGAGGCTTGTAGATATTTGAGTGATTTTGCTTACGATGTTTTGAGTTATCTTATGCTCGAAATTCTGGCTAGTGATAAGCCAAGGATTAAGGAAGATGGAATCAATATGGTCGATTGGTTACAAAATATTTCTCTATTTTGTGGACAAATTTGCCGGAAGTATGAGCCAATCGATCTTAGAAGTATTCTACAATATGTTGTCAATCAGCTTCAACTTGATAATGAAGTCGATTTGTGTGTTCTATCACAACTTATTACCAATTTGTCTGGTATCGAGTTATCTGTCATCCCATCCGAAAGTGATGTAGTGTTGATGAGCGGGTCTGATACTCTTAGAAAGACCAGACTGTACAATATCAATATTAACAAAAATGTACGGCGTAGTTCGGCAAGATTAGCTAAAACTATTATAGATACTGGTTTTCTGACTCCACTTGCTTTTTACATTGCACAAATGTGTCAGAAAATTCCATTCCCCGCTTCGGATGAAAATAACATACTTTCGATATCATCATCGTCTGATCTTAAACAATTGGGTGCTAAGTTGGATACAGTTCGCAACGCATATGTCCAATATATGGAGTTTCTTGCTCTTAACGTTGATATGAAAGATCATCATAGGTCGATTCCGGATACCATTGAACTATGTAATAAATACGCAGTTCAGCCAGAATATGCGTTTATGTTATTACGTCCTAAATTAAATTATTTGATCAAATCATATTATGAAACGACAATGGGTGCTGAAGAAGATAATATTATTTGGCAGCCTGCTTTGCGTGATGTTATAGAGCAAGCTCAACAGATATACCCACCCCACGTATGGAATGGAATTAGCCCAGAGTTTTATACAACTTTTTGGCAACTCTCATTATATGATCTCCAATTTCCTGCTCAAGAATATCAAAAGGCTATAAATGAAACTCGTAGTTTACTTAAGACTGCTGAAGATAAGAAAAGGCCACAAGATATTAAAAAGTATACGGCTATTCTTAACGCGCTTGAAGAAGAATATAAGCAACACCCTGAACATACTACACGCATTCGACAAAGGTTAATGAGAGAGAAAGATCATTGGTTTTCTGGGCAATTCTCAAATCGTCAAGACATTATTACACAATTTTGGCAATATTGTCTTTTTCCACGTTTGATTATGTCTGCAGACAATGCAGTTTTTTGTGCAAAATTTATTGAGGAGATGCACGAAATTGGTACAGCAAATTTTTCAACGCTCACACTCTATGATAGAGTATTTGCGGATCAAGCGCAACCTGTTACATTTACGTGTACAGAAGCCGAAGCTCGTAATTATGGACGCTTCTTGCAAACTTGTTTGAAATCTCTTAGCGTTCTCCATAAGGATTCTAATGCTTACGAAGAAAGAGGAAAAGGGAGAGGAATACCCGGTTTCCAAATGAAATGGAGCGCTCTAAATAGACAACCATCTAGTATTGCTGAAACTGATTTATTACAATATGAAGATTTTAGACGTGTTTATTACAAATGGCATTCAAAACTTCTCAAAGCTTTCGAACAAGGCCTTCTTGGGATTGAATATATATCAGTTCGAAATACTATAATCGTCTTGAGTGAAATAGTGCTATATTTTCCCGCTATTGAAACTATGGGCAAGAAAGTTGAGTCATTCGTCAAGAACATAGCAGATAATGAAAAAAGATCTGATATTAAGGTGTTAGCCCTAAGTTATTTGGGCAAATTAAGAAGTATGAGAAAGACATGGATTCCTTACAAACAATTTCAAACTCCTAAACAAACAACCTCAAACGCTCCAAATCCTACCGCTACTCATAATTCCTCAACTCAAAATTCTTCAACACCTACAAATAATACTTTGACCGTACAGCAAAATAAAGCTACTATTCAACCGGAACGGCCGTCTACTCCACAGCCTTATCGTGGAAATCTATCGAATGTTCGTGATGGTCATCAATCTCCTCGTGCGACAGCTAGGACTAACAGTCCAAGAAGGCAAATCCATCCATTACCCGACAAACCAATGGAAATTAGAAATCCTATGGACGTTAGAAATCAGCTGCGTGAAAAGGAACGTGAAAAAGAACGTGAAAGAGAACGAGAACGGATTAAAGAAAAGAAAATAGACATTCACAATGAGCGTGAAAAGGAAAAGATGATCAAAAAGATGGAGCATGAACGCGAAAGAGAAATCAAAAAAATTGAGCATCATGAACGAGACAAAATTGGAAGAGATGTTCGAGAAAGAAATAAAATTCCAGAGATACCTCGTGGAGAAATTGAAAAGAAAGACGTCCGAAAGCCAAGTAAAGAAAGACAGCCTGGCGATGACCGAATGAAAAGAATTGAACATCATCCACGTAGTAAAGAGAGGGAATTAAGAGATCGCGATGAAAGAATGAAAGAAAAAGAGCGTGAAAAACGTGAAGAACGTCGCGAAGATAAACGTGAAGAAAGACGGGAGGAGAAACGCGAAGATAAACGCGACAAAATAAAAGAAAAGGAACGTGAACGAAGTAGAGAAGCAGAAAGAGAACGCGAAGATCGAGAGAGGGAGCGTCGCGAAAGAGAAGTTGAACGTGATCGTCATCGCAACGGACGACGTCATCCTGATGATGTTTCAAGACGAATTCGTAAGCCTGATCACGAGATGGTCCAAATGCGCGACGAACGCGAACGCCTCATCGCACAAGGGAAAAAAAGAGATAGAACCGATCGTGATCGTGATGAAGAGCCTGAAATCACAAAAAAACGAGTGGTCGAGCGTGCGGGGGAGAGGATCGTGGAACGGATCCCACCCGAAATCCTTCCTCCTATATCTCGGCCGCCTGTAAAGCTCAATCGAACGGCCGAACATATCTCAGAATTGCTCGTTACTGGTCATTATAATCCGGGTATGAGCAAAAAACCTGGCGGTGGTGACAAGCACCGAAGGCGGAATTATTAAGTAACTCTTTTAAATTAAAAAATGACAAAAAAAAAAAATAAAAAATAAAAAAATATTAAATTAATTATCATAGCAAGGCTGTACTCATATTATTAATTAAATAATGGTAATAATAATAAAAAATATAATTATGTAAATATAGACATAGAAATAAAATATATATATATATCATTTTTTGATCTTAAATAACGCGTTTAATTATCAGTTGCAAATAGCTAGACAGGCGGATTATATATATATATATATATATATTACGTGTAATTAATAATTACTAATATTTTATTGAATTTCAAAAGACAACAGCAATATTTTACAAATAAAAATTTATGAATTTCTGTAGGATATCAAAAAATTTATTGAATTATTTTTAATATTCTAATTATTAAAATTTGAAAATTTGAAAAATTTTACAATGATTATATGATAAAAAAAAAAGGAAAAGAATATATATATAAGAAAGGATATATAATACTTAATAAATTGGGGGAGGAAAAGAAAATAAAATAAAAAAATGAAATTTATATAAATTATCATATCTTTCTTTTACATTCCTTTTAATATACTCCAAGCTTTAATGGCCCTATTTTCGCTTTCACTCAATGACCGCGAATTATCATCAACATTACGTTTATGTGGACAATCGTCTAACAATTCACATTCGCATTCACCACCTGATAATTCTAAATCATCATCACTATCATCATCGTATTCACCACTAACAATTCTTTCAAGTATAACCAGTTTTTTTATAAATATTTCCCGTTTTTTTGTTATACCCTCAAATACAGAATTTTTTGATAATCTTCTTAAAAACCTTATCCATAAAATTATTGTATTTTGTAATCTTTCTCTATCCAGAACATCGGGTAATGTAATGTTAGATGTAGCTTTGATTGTTGTCGTTGTCAATGAATTCGTTGTTGAAGTAGAAGACAATTTCATTGATGATGCATTTTCTTTTTCTTCTTCGACAGATGATTTCGTGCTATCACTACTTGAAGCATTCATTGAAGAAGCCAGTCCTTCAACAATTTTCCAACCTAAACTTCTTGCCTCTAATACAATCCATCCAACACAAAATTCTGCCAAATCATGAACACCTTGTACCATATTAAGTATTTCAAAAGAATTGTTAAATTCATCTAATAATTCATTTTTTCCTTCTACACTACCATCACCATTTCTTTGTTCTTTTCTTTTGGCCAACGCAAGGTTAACTTTATCAGCACATCTAATTGAAGCTTCAACTTTCCCATGCATTAATAATGCGTAAGAAAGTAATCCCATAGCAATGATTTGTTTATTATAATTATTTTCATCTGATTTAATTGTTGGATAATCTTTAAGTCTATTAACAAAGTTTTTTCCAAGTGAATTATGTCCTGAGGAAAATGCCTCTATACTGCAACCAACTAATGCATACCAATGTGTGAATGAATTAGGTGTGGTGTCTCGTACTATTTCAACAAAGGAAAATGACTGTTGATTTTTCGATGATTTCTTTTTACCGCTATATTTTAGAGAAATGAAGTTATAAAAAGCTTGTTTAAGATATATTAATGCTTGTACATCCGTTACGAGCGTTAAAGGAATCGTAATATTCTTCATCAGTCCAATGTGTGATTTTTCATCATTTTTCTTTGTTGAATGAAGGAAAGTGTAATTACTAATTCTATTTACAACCCCTTTCCACATTTCACTTTGTTGATCACTATTCAAGGCAATTTCAAGCCATTTTTCTTCTGCTCCACTTCCGCGTCCCTTTTCTTTGTTTGCTAATTTCCAAAACTGTGAAGCAACTTTTTCTGCAAGAAATGGAAAACTTGATAGTCCAATATAACTCTGTAATGCGGCATTAGCGTAAATACGCGACGGACTAAGATAAATATGTTTTCTTGTTGTATAAGAACTTTCTAAAAGATTAATGGTGCGTAGACAAGTGTAAAGGATTGATAGACGTGAAGCTTTATCATTACCACCACCACATAGTTCAACCTCACCAATTCTTCCCCATAGCGATACTTCCATAAGCCTTTCTTCAACATCTGTAAGCGTATAACCACCTGTAATATCCCATCCTAAGAATCTTCTAAAAGAAAATTTAATGGATTCTGAAATAAGTCCAAAAATAAGTTCAAACAAATTGGCGGGAGGTCCATTTGAAAGACTTGAAAGAGATCGATAAAGTGCTTTAGCATCTTTAGTTTTAGCGTTTAATACAGATGTGATAATCGAATTTGATTTACGTAAGCGACGTGGTTGACTTGAAAACAGTGAAGGTCGAATAATATAAGTCAGACACATGAGGAAAGTAAAAATCCTTGCCAAGTACCAAAGGTCAATGATTAATGTACCATCGCTCGCATTAAATGAATTTTTTGTTGTATCAATAACGGGTGAAGGAGAATTAGATAATACCCGTCCTTCATGATGATCAGGATGAGATTCTGTATTATAGCTTGATGATGATGTAAAGAAAGTCATACACATGAATAAAGCCATTAAAGCTCTTGAACCAGTGTTTCCGGTTGGAGGAGTTGGTGGCGAATTATAATCAACATAATCCTGCTGATGTGGTGAACCGGGATGAGACGAACCTGGAGAACTATCAGCTGATGTTGGTGGTGTATATTGACCAGTGTGCTCAAGTTCATTAGAATTAGCGACTTGTTCTGTCATATAAGCATTATATAATTCAGTACCACCAGGTAAAGCTTCGATCAATTTCCTTAAAGTTTCATTTTCACGTTTAAGTTTTTGATTGCTATTCTTTAAGTAATTAATATATTCGGTTGCTTTCCTAAGAATTGTTGCTTTATTCAGCTTGGTAGCAGCAGGTATTCCATCAACTTCACTGGCTTCGTCATCATCTTTACTTTTGAGATGACAAAGTGCAGGAACAACATTTTTAAGATCATTAATACGATCATTAATATTATTCCTATAACGACGTTCGATGGCATTATGAGCAACTTTCTTTTGTTGTTTATTTGGCTGTGCTTGGAAATTTTGTTGTGGTTGTGCATTAGACATTGTAGATTTAAGACGATTTATTGGTAACTTTGCAGCAGGAGAACTATCACGCGCGACAAGTAAAGGTATATTCGTAAACTCGATCATTCTATCGGGAACGAAACTCGTTGCAGAAGGATTTATGGTTTGAGCGGGATGATTCCAAGCACCTTGATTAAATGCCAGAATCGAGTTTGTAGCATAATTTGATGAATCTGAAGGAACAACGGGAGAACTAGGAACTACAATACTTTGAGTACCATCGTTACACATCATGCTAGGAACTGATAATCCATCTGAAGAATTTAATTCACCTTTTACAAACTCGTTTCCTGAAGCAGAAGTCGGATGTCCCGAAGATTTTAATCCAGTCGAAGATTTTTTAATAGACTTGCCAACCACACTATTTGGACCTTTACGCTTCTTTTTTGATGATTTATCAGGTGAAATACTATCACGATCTAATGTTAAGTTAGCACGCTTTTTAGCATTATCAAACTGTTGAGAAGCGATCAAGTTAAGTGTGTCAAGATCATTTTTTGAAGTTAATAATTGTTCAAAAGATGAGTCTTCCATAGAGGAGTTGCCAAAATCTTGAACAGTAGCATCGATTGGTGAAATTGTAAAATCTTGTAAAGCATTAAATTGTGGTGGTGAAAGAGTGTCTAAAGAACACGTATCGTCGATCGTTGTAAAAGAATTTGGCGAACTTAAGAATGAATCAGGAGAATTTAAAGAAGCTAATATGTCCGATGAATTAAATAGTGTGTCATTAGGTAAAGTTGGTACAGAATATTGATAATTATTAAAAAGTTGATTGTGACTATCGTTAGAACTTTCTATATTATTACTATTTGCAGCTAACATTGCTTGTATTTGTGCTTCAAACTCTGACAATGTTGTCGAAGGTGGCTGCGTTGTATTTGGATTATTATTCAAATTATTTGTCGTGGTGAATTCATCAAATAGTGATTCACACATTAGTAAATCTTGAAGCTCTGTTGATTGTGGTAGTCCATTCGTATAAGGATTGGTTTCGTACATAGTAATAATATTTTCTTTGATTTTATACGCAAAAAAAAATATTTAAGATGGTTGGTAAAAATTTGTTGGAAATTTACGTTAAAAGAAAAATGCCTTTAAATACTAGACAATTTTTTTAAATAAAAAAATACACGACAATCAAATTGGTTTAATAGCAAAGATTTGAGAAAGTAAGGAAAGTATTGGATATAAAAAAGTGGTGTGAGTAGATCTTTGACACAGATGATTGGATAATATTGGATCAGGTTATATCAATTTTATTATTTGTAATACATAAAAGAAATTTCCCCAAAAAACTAATTAAGGAATAAGTTTTATAAATCGCGTCATAATTTGTGAAAGAGTAAGAAAGCCCAATTAGAACCAATATACTATAAATAGCAAAAAACCGTTGAAGCTTTTAAAGAGGATACTTTATTTTCTCATTCTTTAATCATCAAATATCTAAAACGTTTTATTATTATAAATTAACAATTTAAAATATATGAATATTAAATTTTTTTTAACTTATAAATTTTTAATGAAGAAATATTAAATTTAAGAGTAATTAATTATAATATTATAAAATTTTAAAAGAATATTTTATTAAAATATTATTAAAAAATATATTTTTTATAAATTTTAAAATAATTCAATTTTATGATGATATAATTAGTTTTTTGGAATTTTGTATCTGCTTATAAAACAGATTTAAATGCTTTATCTACAAAAATATATGCAATTTGTATTAATATTACTTTGCAGCTATTTTCATAATTTCTGAATTTGCCAATAATTTTTCAGTCACAATTAGTCATAATATTTTATAGTAATTTTATTATAAATTATTTTTAGTCATATTTAATCACATTCAGTCTCAATTATTAATGGTTCAGAAATTATAAAAATAGCTATAATAGAAAGACTTTTTTCTATTATGAGATTTTTTCACACAAATAATTAAAATTATTTAAATATATATATTTTTATTTTTATTTATTAATATAAGATTTTTTATATAAAAATATTATTAATACCTTTTTTATTTTAATCTGAAAAAGTATTTATTATAAGTCAAATCAAAAAAAAAAATGGTCAAAAACAAAAATAATTAGAAAATATATTATAAATAAATAAAATTTTTAAGCTAAAAATATTGCAACACCAATTATTTAAAAACAATAAAATAATAAAATGATTAATATATTAAATAATGAACTTTTTAATAATTCTAAAGATATAGATCCTGATATTATATCGATTTGTAAATAGAAAAATTTAATTAATGAATAGATTAATATGATAAATAATGATGAAAATAATGAATTTTAAATAAAGAAAATATTAATAATTTAGAATAATTTATTAATAATACTATAGATATTAATAAATTTTAATAAAAGAGTATTAATCTTTTAATAAAAAATTAAATAGAAATCAAGTAATATGATAGGTAACTTTAGGAATTCTGAAGATTCTAAAACAAAATTTTTAAATAGTGTACAGAAAGTTTTCTGATCTGTCTACAAATCAATTCTAGCTATATGAATCTACTATTAAATTTAAGCCTTTTATCTGATTTGATTCAAATCTAGCTAATCAAAAATGTGATATCAAACTTGGCTAGAAATTAACCTGTCTAATATCAATAATTACACTATTTAATATAGCTATTCTAGCCAATTTTTAATCCCAAATAATATATCAAAAAATTATGTTATACTGCTTGCCTCTGAGAGTGAACAAAAATATTAAGAAATGAAGTGATAAAATATTTAAGTCTACAATCTAAAATGTATACTCTATTTTCATGATATAAAAAGTGATCAGTAGAAAAGGTGGAAATCCAAATTTTGGTCAAAATTTATATTATTAAACCACTTGGTTGATTTTGGTCATGTGCATAAAATTAGCTTAATAATTAAAATTAACAAAAATTTTAGATTTCTCCTTTTTTTACTAACTGTTTCCTATATACTAAAATTAATTCTAAAGCTGATTCTTATCTGATTTTATATGCTAAGCCTAACCTCAAAGAAGTTAAACTTAGCTATTATCTAGTTTAAAAATCAAAAGTTTAATGATTAAGTTTTAGTATATTAATATTTTTATAATATTAATTTTTTAAAATTTAATTAGATTTAAATTAAATTTACTAAGAAACTTTTTGTTAAAAAAGAATTTTATTAAATTTAATTTTAATATTATAATTATATATAATTTACTATTTTTCTATTTAAGATTTATAAAAATTAATAATTTAAATTAAATTTTATTATAAAATTTAAACATTTTTATTAAAGCATATTCTATATAAAATCCATTAAACTATTAGACTGTTCAATTCTGATAGATTTTTGTGTAAATTTTATGTAATGTGATTGGTTAAAAGTTATTTCCAAATTTGTATTATATGCACTAACTTTTTTTTTTAAGATACGGTGAAATATAGGGCAAAAAGGGATTCTGAAATAGATGATCAAATCGCTTCTGAATCAATTCTAGCTATATAAATCCATTATCAAAATTAAAACTCTAGTATAATTTGACTCAATTCTAGATGATGATATTGAACTTGGCTTAGAATTAACCTTCAGATATCAAGAATTATACTGTTTGATATAGCTATTCTAGCCTGATTTTAATCC